GAGCGTACATTGCGCGAGATGGCCGCGCTTGTGCAGACTGCGGGCTGGAAGATTGTTGACGTAGTACATGGAGAGAGCTCGTCTTTCGGCTATATGACCGCAGTGCCCATCGACATTCCCGAGGCTACCTCGTCATCCTTCTCCAGCACAGGGACGGTAATGAACGTGAAGGCTTCAGGTACGCATATATGTCGGTCGTCAAAAACCTCATCTGACTGTCTTTCCATAGCACAAGGGGCGACTGGACGTGGTCGCTCGGGCTCGGTACTCAGCGCACCTGAAAGCATCCGCATGGATCACACCTTCGGTTCCCACACCGCGCTGCCAACGGAGGACGCCATACGGAAACCGGCACCGAAGAGCAAACGGCCACTCCTTCCCTGGTGGCGTAGCAAGTCTGCACCGATCGCGAAGGGTGGCAAGGTCGTCACTCCGGAGAAGAAACTACCACCCCTCCCGCCTCCAGAAGTCGGCATGGGGAAGTCGCCGAAGGCTAGACGGCCGAAGCTGTCCCTCATTACACCTTCCATGCCCGACATTCGCTCCCCTGCCCGCGTGCTCCACACGCGCTCGAACTCGAAAGTTCGCATACTCTCTCCGGGGACGAACGGCTCTTCGACCTGCTTGCAAGACACTGTCCAGTTCCCTCGAGTTTCTGCGGGGCCTTCGTCGGACGACACGCTTCTGCAGAGCCCGCTCATGTCCTCCTTCGCCGACGGCCCGACGCTCCTGCCCGCGCTCGAGCCCGGGCCGCCTCTGAAGGTGCGCGCGCGGCCGAGCCGGACGTCGCTCAAGAAGAAGGCCAGCCAGGTGTTCGAGTTCACGAAGGCGTCGATGGCGCACCTGCGCTCGCCGACGGCGCGCGAGAGCCCCGGTGGTGGCCTCGGGCACCTCGCGGCTGCGGCTGCGTCGACGCCGCGGCTGGTGGGGTCGGGCGCGAGCGCGTCGGCGATGTCGATCCCGAGCCTGCCGGGCGTCGAGGAGAGCCCGCCGGGGAGGGCGCGCGCGGACTCGGAGGGCGGGAAGATGGGCGTGAGGGAGCCGAGGAAGATGCGGTCGAGGAGCCAGCTGGGGCTTGCGCATGCCACTGTGGAGGTGCGCGCGGGGAGGGCGGGGCTGCGCGATGGTGCGCGCGTTGAGAACTGGGATGGGGCGAGCGTGGAGGGCGATCGCTGAGTGGTGGTCGCGCGACTTCGAGGAGTCGGGGCGGTGGCGCTCAGGATGGGGATGGGATGTGAGGCCTTGAGGAGTATCAAGGAGGATTGCAAGGAGGACGGGGAGGATGATCAAGATGCGTCCGTCTTGGTGTACGCGCGTGGCTCGCTGCGCTCAGGACTCTACTGGCAGCGTCGGACACTTTGCATTTCTGTATTGCTATGTATTCATCATGTTCGCGCTTTGCTTTCGCTCGTTCGCTCGCTCGCTACATAGCTGCTGTCGACTGTACGCTCCTGTTGTACGCTAGACTAAGTATTTATTATCCTAGATGCGCTCTGCTGCCTACGTTGGGTCTGTGCGAATATCAGGTCTGCGCGTGCGCGAGTTGCTGGAGGTCGACCCGGCGCTCGCGGGGCCTGGATGCCATTGTAAGTACACGAGGCTGTCGCTGTGTGTTGTTGGGCTCTCTGGGGCCTTGTGGTGTGTTGTGCGCATGCGCGCCGCCGGCATCAGGAGAAAAAGATCGGGAGGCACAGGGGGAGATAGACTTGAGATTGGCTTTATATTGCAGCCTCGAGCTCTTTTTCCCGAGGCATCTTTGATGCAGATGGTTCATGTGGGGGAGCGCTCGTCGCGCCGCCCATCTCAGCGTGTGCGAATGGCGGGACTCGGGACTCGAGACTCGGGAGGTTCGAACTTGAATGTGGGAGACTGGTATCGAGAACGATGATATTGAGAGCAGGGAACATTGGTATAGGTAAGTAAGTAGTCGGGTATAGAGTAGCGATAACTACTTCATACTACTTAGTAAGTATGGACTGAGGACGCGAGATGGAACAATAATGGTAGGAAAGACAACAGACGATGATGCGAAGAGACAGCAGACGGATGCGATGGAGTGGTATGCAGAGGATGCTATGGGATGGGAGACAACTTGAACAGACAACAGGATGCGGTACGAGAGTGGACTATGACGACAACAGGGGAGAGATACGTACAACGACGATGAGATATGGCGAGCTGACGATACATGACGGATCCAGATCAACCTGCCGAAGGAAGAAGAAGGAGAGTCAGAAGACAGAAGGACGTTGAGGAGGTGGAGGAGACTCACAACGCAGCTCATTTGTGCGACTTCTTCTTCTTCTTCTTCGGCCGCTCGTCCCACTCCGAACCAGAGTCCTCCGGAGCGTCCTCCTCGTCCTCGTCCTCCCCGTAGGCATTCTCGTCGTGCGAGTCTTCGCGGTGGCGAGTCCGGCTCGGTCCTGCGACTGGCGCCGCGGCGGTGCGGGTGCGGGTGCGGGTGCGGGTGCGGGTGCTGCTCTGTGTTGCGACCGCGGACTTTGTCTGAGCCTTGCTCTTGCTCTTGGTCGGCGCCTTGCTCGTGCCCTTGGTCCGTGAACGCTTTCCCAATTGCTTGTAAAGCTCCTCGGACTCAGGCTCGTGCTGGGTTTCGATGTGTCGCCATAGAGGGTCGTGCCGAGAGAAGACAAGACCGCACTCGGGGCAGACGATAGGCGACTTGCGCCGCTCCCTGTGAGCGCTGCGGTGGTGTCGCACGAAGGTGTTCCACGCCGCGAAGTGGGTCGGGGGGTTCTTCTTCTTGCACTTGTCATGACGACACGCCGCGCCCTTTACCCAGTTGCCCCCGAACAGCCCGTGCGTCGCCTTCATGTGAGCCTCCCAAGCCACCTCGCTGGGGAATTCCTCCGTGCACTCGTCGATACCGCAGACGAAGGGGTCACAGTCCTTGGGCGAGGACGGTGAGGCGCGCGATGGGAGCTTCTCCTGCTCTGGCTCGTCGACGGGAGGTGCGGGTGGGGCGACACAGGCAGCCTTGCCTTTGCCTTTGCCTTTGAGAGACTGAGAGGCACGCGATGGGAGCTTCTCCTGCTTGGGCTCGTCGACGGGAGGTTTGGGTGGGGCGACACGGACAGCCTTGCCTTTACCTTTGCCCTTGGGGCGTTCTGAGGGTCCGGCGAGCGGGGGAGGCATTGTGTCGCCCGGATGTTGGGCGGAGTGGGCGACGGAGCCGCGCTTTCTCTTTTTCGGAGAAGGAGAAGGCGCATTGACAAGGTCGGCGAAGACCAGGTCGGAGGTGGTTTCGGCCTGATACGAGCGGTCGTTAGGCTGTCAATCGTAGCAGTACATATGGCAGAGAACTCACCGGTGCCTGTATAGCACAGATGCCGTGCACACAACTACTCAGGACGAGGAGCGGCTCGTCCCTCGTCAACTTCGTCGCGGTGGTGCGCACCGGCTCGATACCTGTCGCGAATACTGCGATTGGCGGAGCCAGTGCGAGCGGCCCCACTACTACGTGCGTTGCATCGAGATGACTCTCGATGTGGTAGAACCCCCCTTCATCGGGGTCGAAATACACTCGCAAGCAGCCGCAGGTCCACAACATCTCGCAGTCGTACTGCTCGATGTTGTCAACCTCAGGCCCCTGCGCCAATGGACGGGGGGAAAATGGGAGGCGCTGCGACAGCAGCGCAGGAGGGGCGTAGACACCCTCAACAGAGTCCGAGAAGTCGAACTCACTTAAGGAGGCCTTGGCATGTGCCAGGAGAGGCTCCTGCTCATTGCTCGCGGAGAGCGGGCGCAAAACAAAAGAGAGCTGAGAGGATCCGAGAAGCGACATGATGTCAAGGTGGCTGAAGAGTAGAAGGATGGAGGAAAGCGGGGCAGGGGAGAGGGAGATGGTTTGGAGACATAGACCAGCGGAGCAGGCGTCCTTTAAGCATGGCCGAGGCGTACGAGTGTGAGAAGTGAGGGAGTGTACGAGCCCGGAAAGGGGAACAATGATGCGATTACGCCTGGGAGGGGGCGGTCTATCATCAGTTTGTACGGGACAAAAGGCATGCCAAAGGGCGAAAACCTGCGAACCTCGCCACGCAAGATTACTCACCTTTCGGCCAAATTCCAGGCTGAAAGGAAAGCTTTCGGCCGGTCGCGCTCTCAAACGGGACAAACGGTGACCTCGCACAGCGTAGTCTGACGCCTTTTCGCCCGTGCGAGATGTGGGTATGCCACTGCGTGCCGGGTGGTGAGTGCAGAGCGTGCTGAACTTGGGGTGGCCTCGGTTAGTCTCGGTTAGTTCATTTACTGAAGCGCCGAGCTACCGGAGATCGCCGAAGTAAGCACTTACATACCAGGTATCACTTTTGCTATTTTGGGGAGCACAGCTGGTTACTGCGCAGAGACTTGGCCCTTGAGAACCATAACATCCGGACGGTGCCGTGTTCCCGCCCACCTGCCCCCAGTCTGCCTCAAAAACTAAAGTTCTCTATAGTGGGCTGCATAAGCAATCATGGATCATTGGACGCAAGTGGCCGCGCTTACTTGAAGAGGACGCAGGGGAGCTGGTTTTTCGCTGGGTTTTTGTGCCGAGGCATCTTGGATGGTTCGCGAGGGAAGCGCCCGTCGCGCGGCCCATCTCTGCGTGTGCGAGAGTTGAGGACTCGGGACTCGGGACTGGTATCGAGAATGATGAGATTGAGAGCAGGGAACATTGCGGTGGACAGCGATAGGTTAACGGTGTATAACGAGTACAGAGCGATAGTAATGACTTCATACTAGTACTTGGTAGTACATACTTAGTACGAGATCGAGGACGCGAGATGAGACTATAATGATAGCAGAGACAACAGATTACAGACAACAGATGATGATAGAGACAGCAGACGGGAGGGACGGATGCGATGGAGTGGTATGTAGACGACAACAGAGGATGCTATGGGATCGGACGACAGACAGAAGGATGCGGCATGAGAGTACACTACTTATGACAACACTGGAGAGATACGTACGATGATGATGAGGTACGGGAGCTAGCAAAACATTATACAATCAGATCGACCTGCCGAAGGAGGAAGGTCAGAACACGGAAGGACACAGCTGAAGAGGTGGAGGAGACTCGCACAGCTCATTTACGCGACTTCTTCCTCTTCTTTGGCTGCTCTTCCCACTGCTCCATATCCTCGTCGTTCTTCTTCCGCTTCTTCCGCTTCGGCGGCTCCTCCCGCTCCACATCGTCGGAGTCCTTCTCACCATTGTCGGGCTCAGCAGGGGGTACGTTCTCCTTGTCCTCGCTTTTGTTTGCCATGCTGAGCGCATCGTCGCTGTTCATCTTGTGCTTGTCCATCAAATGCCGCTTCATGGAATCGCCTCGAAGACCCTCCAGCACGAAGGTACAACCTCCGCCAACCGGGCACCGCATCGAAATGGTGTAGTGATGCTTGTCCTTGTGATGCCGGATCCATGTCGACCATGATCCATAGACCTTGCGCTTCTTCCCTTCCTCAGGCACCTCGGGGCAGCAAGGACAGAAGCTGCCCGCCTTCCACTCGTGCTTGCACCCAATCTTGTGCGTGTCTTGCAGATGAGCCACCCAGAGTTCGTCGCTAGTCAAGACGTACGTGCATTTGTTGATGCCGCACGTAAAATCCTTCCACGGACGGTTCTTCTCATGTCTTGTCCTCGGACGGCGGAGAGCGGTAGAAGGTGTAGCAGGACCGGAGGTGGAAGACCCTGCGTCAACTTTGGATGCGACCGAACGAGCAGGAGTTCGAGTCGGGCGCGGGGCAGAGCGAGTGGTGGAAGGCAAGGCGGGAGAGCGTCCGGAGGTGGCAGACCGGGCACGACCAACCTTGGCGACTCCTGGAGGAGCAGAGGAACGCGTCTGGCGCGGGGCGAAGGCCACCTGCGCATGAGAAGTGGAAGGAGCGGGCGCGATTGAGGTCGAGAGAGCGTCGACATGCTTCTTCTCGCAAGGTTCCGCCTCATATGTTGGCACGGATTCGGGCTCCGGATGAAGATCGATTGGGTCCAGTAAAGGTGGCTCCTCGGGGGCCGAGCTCTCCTAGGCAAGATAGCAAGTAATGAACGGAGGTACTTGATGTCCGATG